TCGCATCTCTTTGTCTTTTGTGTTCTCCTTTGCCTCATCTCTAACTATATAACAAGAGCTCCATGAGATAAAGATAGTCATTCAAGGGGCAGCTAGATGTCGCAGTGGATAGAGCACCAGCCCTGGATTCAGGAGGACCTTTGTTCAAATCCAGCCTCAGACACTTACTATCTTACTATCTATGTGACCCTGGGCAAGTCACTTAATCTCATTTCCTAGCTAAAAAAAAAAAAAAGATAGTCATTCAAAAGTAGAGCAGGTAGCCAAATTGTAGGACAACACATTACAGACCTGCTTTCTTATTGGTGTCAAACCGAGAACATGGCATTTAGTCCCAGAGACAGAGCTTGTGAAAGTGTTTGGCCAGAGCACAGCACACACATAAGAATTAACCATATCAAAAAGACTGGCCCTAAGGGTCTTTAAAGGATTCATGGGAGTCAAAAGCTTAGAGTTTTACCTAAGACTTTTTAAGTACATGGGTAAAAATGTTTTCCTCTTAAAATTGTATATGTTTGTTTCCAAAAAAAAAAAAAATCTTATTTCTTGACCTTTTTTCCATCTTCCCTATGTACCTGCTGACATAATCGCACATTCTAATGAGGTACCAGTTATTAGGAGCTAAATAACAAAGCACTTGCTATTTGTCAACAGAGCTATTCATAGCCCCTGGCTTAGATTTAGTGTTTACCTTTTTCTTACTCTGAGAACAGTCCTTTGAATACTCAGTCTGCCTGAGGAAGTATTTCTTCCTGGAGTGTCTTGGAGTCCTATAAGTAACCTTTGTTTATCATGAAAACAGTTCCACTAAAACTGAAAATGATTGGGAAGCAGTGTTGTTTGTGGCAGGGACCCACTTAGTCAGTGAGGCTTATGTTATTTAAATGCAGTAAAGAAAAGGAGGTTTGAGAGACAAAGCTCTCATCGCAGATCCTCTTCTCACTACCATCTAACACAGAATGGGTTAAAAACCAGAATGGAATCAGAGGCATTCATTATTAATATAAAAATGAATAAATTCAGTGGGATGAGAAATAATGAATAATGAAATAGAGTTTGGTTAAATGTCAAATATTCAAGTCAATGGAAACTCATTGTGGCAATATGGTACACTAGAAAGATGGCTAGATTTGGAATCAGAGGATGTAGGTTCAAATCCTGATTTTGCAACTTACTACCTGTGTACCCTTAGGCAATTGAGTTAAAATCTTTGGGCTTCAGTTCTTCATCTGTAAAATGTAAAGGTTGGACTAGATGACCTCTAAGGTCGCTTGTAGCTCTAAATCTATGAGCCTGTGGTCCTATAAAAGCCTGAGTAAGCAGTGAGTGACATGACGGCATCTCTATAGGTCATATGTATCTGGCTTCTGGATGGTAGTCTTGGAATTACTTGGTCTTCATGAAAAAACCCAGAAGCCTATGACAAGGATGAAATCATCATCTCATCAGGGGCAGCATCCCTTTAAAGAGACAAGATGAGTGCTGGACTTGAAGTCATGAAATTCTTATATAAGGTAAACGGACCCTTTAAGGACCTTTTTATATGGAGTCATTTGATGATGAAAAGTGTTTAAAGGAAAATGTATTAATTTTCAAATGATACAAGACATTGCTAGTTACAGATGATCATTTTGATACCTAAAAGGAGTAGAAAGAGAATTTTATTGTAATATATACTGCTGACATACATTTAAAAAGAAAAACAACTTTTAGGCAGGATTTTGATAATTTTGGAGAGAAAATTATCTATGATGTAAATATACAGACTCAAATCTCTTTGTGGATGATATAAAATGATGGCCTGCTTGTGTAGAAAGAGTTTAATCTTATAAGTTTTATTTATTAAAAATTAGAGTAAATTTAGAGAGATATAAGTAAAGAGGACACCAAAGAAATGGATGGCCATGGAGTCTTCAGAACTACAAGTGTGATAGATACCTCAATTTATTTATATGTAACTGTTTAATAATTAAAGAGGATAAAATGAGAGAGACAGAGACGGAAATCATATAAACATTTTGAGACCGTGGTATGATTTTAAAAGGACTCTTGATTTGATAGAGAAATTTGGGGGAGTTGTGGCTTTTAAAGTGAAAGGTGAATCATTATGAAACAGGAGGCTTTCATTTAAGCCATTAAAGAAAGAAGGACCTAACATAGGAACTTGAAGAAAAGTATTGAAGACATATCAGGAAGGCTGAAAAGCTGCTCTGTTTGGAGCTCTGGCAATTGGAAGTAGCTAAGTAACGGGAGGCTTCAGCTGAGTGTTTCCTGACCGATGGGAAAGAGAATTCATGTCGTTGGTCAAAAATTCATCGACCAAGCTTCAATGATGGCTATTATTCTTCTTTCATTATTGCTCATTGCTCTCTGCTGCCACCTCTGGCTACAGAAGGAAAATAAGGAGGTTGGAGGGCATTTTAGAGAACCTTTGGTACGTTTTCTGAGCTGGATTAAAGAGTCTACCTGAGTTGTGTTGCTCTGAGCGCTATCCTGATTGGACAGAGCAGCAATTGTGAGTGAATAACTAACTGATTTAGTCTATATAGTTGAGAGATAGCCAGTTGGGTAAGCTTTGCTATTCTCTGGCTTAAAGAAAACTACTATTTACATTAAGAGCTAACATGTTTTAAATACCCTTTTGAATACTTCAGTACCTTTAATGCTACGTTTAAATAGAGAAGAAAGGACTTTCGAGCTTAAGAATGATGAGGATCAATTGTCAAGTAGTGAGCAGAAAAACAATTTGTGTATGTAAGGGTGTATGGGTGTGTGTGTGTGTGTGTGTGTGTGTGTGTGTGTGTTGCAGATGTTCTTGAATGGATCAATAATATTGAAGCCTGTAGTCCAAAGTTGTGAGTTACCCTAAGCATGTGTTTTCCTCCCTCATATGCTTCCCTGCCAAGATTCTTCTATTGCTATTGTTATCATTCCATCCTCACCTCTATGTCTTCAGTATTCATCTTCACCTCATAACATGCTTATATAACAACAGTTCAATAGATAATGCCAGTTACTCAAAAGTAGAGTATGGTAGACAAATTATAAAACAACACAGCCCTGCCAGATGTCTCTGTGTGCCCATTCTTCACTTCAAGTATTGTATGCACGGTGGGAAAGCATGATCCGGGATTATAGGTATATATAGTATATTTTATTGTTTCCGCATTTGCTTTAATATGTTAGTGTCTATAATGGTCATTTCTTTGGCCTTATTGTTAAGTAAATGTTAGGTTTAGCATGTTATGTTGAATAAATGTTATATTAAGTTTAAGATTTCAAAGTGTCATTGTGAGTAGCTGGTGGTGTAGATAGGAAACACATTGGATAGAGGCTCAAGAGCGAGAGCAGTGAATGAAATATATTTCTCTCAAACAGTACCTTAAGAAAGTTCAACTATAAGCACATGATGCTAGTGTGAGCGCAAATTGGAACGAATGATTCAATCCCAGAGAAACACGGAGTGTAGACACACCTAGTGAAAGGAGTGATATAGATACATATTTTGTGACATTGTGGAGTTGTTTACAAATCCCAACTGTAACATTGTAACAATCTTCCTTTTTCATATTTATATTTCTAGCACTTTGCACAGTGCCTGGCACATAATAGGCATTTAATGAATGTTTCTTGACTGATTGACTGACATCACATTTACCAAGTTACACTGGGTTTAAATCTCATCTCAGAGACTGACTAGCAGTGAGAACAAAAGCAAGCTACTTAATCTCTATGAAGTTTGGTTTCCTAATCTATAAAATGGTGATAACATTACCTGGGCAGCTGGGTGGCACAATAGATAAAGTTCTGACCTTGGAGTAAGGAAAAACTGAATTCAAATCCAGCTTCAGACACTTACTTGCTGTGTGACTCAGGGCAAGTCACGTAACCCTGTTTGCCTCAGTTTCCTCATCTGTAAAATGAGCTGGGGAAGGAAATGGCACACCACTCCAGGATCTTTGCCAAGAAAACCCCAAATAGGGTCACGAAGAGTCAGACACAACTAAACAACAAATCAGCACCTACCTCACAGGGTTGTTGTTAAGATTAAGTGAGATAATGTATATGAAGTACTTTGTAAACCTTAAAGTGCTACATGAATGGGAGCTATTATTATTAGCTGCTGCACATTTATTAAATATCATTTATGTGCAAGGCGAGATATTAGGACCTGTGAAAAAAACAAAAGACCTAACACTAACCCTGCCATCAAGGAGCTTGTAATCTAGGTAGAGAGTCAGGGGCACACACACACACACACACACACACACACACACACACATATGAAAAAAAATTAACGATAAAAAGCATTACATAGTAAGTGCCACATAGATGGCACAGATCACAAATACTGTAAGCATCCTGTGGAAAATAGGTTTGCTGTGGGCTGGAATTGTCCGAATAGCCTTCTTAGAGGAGATGGGAATTAAACAGAACTTCAAAAGATTGATAGGATTAAGAGAAATAGAGTGAGGAGGGCTTTCTAGATGGAGGGAAACTGAGCAAAGGCACAGAGAAGGGAATATGCCCAGCATGTTAAGAGTACAATGGGGAGAGAAATGGGAAATGAGGTTGGAGTAGTATCACAGAATCACAGAATCAGGGTTGGAAGGGACACTGGGAACAACCCATACCCAACTAAGCTACCCACAAAGTGGTCATCCAGTCTTTGATAGATGCTTGAGACCTTCAAGGAAAGAGGAGATAAACTGATGCCATAATATAGAGGCCTTTGAAAGTAAGGCTAAGTAGTTTGGACTTTATTCTTCAGATATCTAGGAGGTATCTTCAGATATCTTGAAAGTATTTCCAAGAGCCACCTCAACCTTCGGGGTGAGTGTCATTGAAATCTTAGAGATAGGACAACAATCTGCTGCAATAGAAACAAATAAGACTTGGCCTCCCACCACCTCCAGTGATTTCAAGAATACTAAGCATGGATCAGTGTCCCCCTTGATGGTTCAAAAATCTAGTTCTAGACTTGAAATATGAATACTCACGGTTCTGGGGTGTAGAGCGGATCAGAGCCATGTCTAACATACTGAGTACAGTGGAACACTCTGTAAGCCAACCCAGCGAGAAAGTCTCGAGGAGATAGGTACCCGGCCACTGGTCTCACAGTAAAGCCAGATCTTTCTAAGGAAGCAATGAAAAGAAACGAACCTTATATTAACACAACAGCACTTAATGACCCAAGAAAATGTTCTAAACTATTCAGAAAGATGCTATGGGGATCAGTAATAATATCAAACATGTCATATAGAATAACATATGTAATTTGTAGCCATCAAAATGAAGGGACCATTAATTAATCAGATAAAGTCATGATAATTCATTTCCAGAAAGACAGAATATGTATTAACAAAGACAGGTCAAAAAGTATTTAAGAACTCTCCAAAACCAAATCTGGAGGGGAAATCTGCAAATGTATAATCCAAAATTATATTTAGAACAGATGTGGGAGAACAATGTACAAAAGGCCATAATAATTTAAATGAAAAGAAAGCAAAAACAAAGTCAAATGTTGAGTAATCATAATTATTGATCTCAGTCCTGGAGAAGAAATTAGAAAATGTATCTCCCTCCTTTCAGTAGAGAAGTGGGAAATAGTAGGCATCAGACTCTGTCTTTTGGTTTTTCATAATTGTTACAAGATAGAGTTCATGGGGATGGGGGGAGGGAGAAGGTATAGATCTGGAAATGATTATGATATAAAAATGAAAGACATTAACAAAATACTTTTAAATGATAGTTACAATGTATCACATGGAATTTTTAAAAAACACCTAAGTATACATTTTTCATATATATTTGTGTTAGCACAAAAGTATTCAGATTTTCTTTGATGACTGTAGTGGGCTACAGGCTAGTCTCAGCTCAAAGTAATATGAACCAAACTCTTCTCATCCTCTACAATTGTAATTTCTTTGATATTTATGAAAACAGTCTTATTTGTTTACATATCTATTATTGCTATTTGCTTGATTATGAGCATAAAAATCAATGTGGCTTCTGTAGCTGTGAACTGGAAAAACAAAACTATCAGAATACAATTTTTAGAACCCTATTATAAAGAACCTCACTATGCTGTTATGCTATTATATAGGACATATTCATGTACTCCATGTGTCCTGTCTCTCTGTCTTTCTGTCTCTGTCTCTGTCTCTCTCTTTCTCTGTCTCTGTCTCTCTCTCTCTCTTTCTCTCTCTCTCAAATACCTAAGTGTTATTATCATCCCTTGATACCAGCTTTGTAATAGCCTCCATTCTGAAGATGTCCACTCTTTATGAGAGAACCTTGGAAGAGCAGAACATTGTTTAAAAAGCAAGATCCAATTAACTTTGAAAAGAAAGTCATTTCCAGAGCTCTTTGTGCCAGCATCCAAATGACCCTAATCTTCAACTCCAGCTTTCATAAACCACCTTCACTGATGGTATGACATCATCACTGCTCCCTCTACATTCTTCATTTCAGCTTGCTACCCACTGAATATTTTAAAGATAAATTATTTGGGGGCTTTTAATGATCCCTTCTTTGACAAAGCATGGCACCATGGAAAGAGGACTGGATTTAGAATCAAAGGACATGAGTTTAAATCCCATCACTTGTGTGATCTTGAACAAGTCACTTGACTTAGCTGGTTTTCTCATCTGCAAAATGAAGAGATGGCAGTAAATCACCATTCAGATCCTTTCCAATTCAGCATCTACAATTCTAGAAAGCAAATGAGGACTAAAGACTCACATTCAAGTGTTCCAAGCTCAGAAAATGGAAAAATCACTGTAGCTAGAGTGGTCAGAAAAGTATTTTCGGAAGATATGAGGCCTGAGGCAGGCTTGGAAACATAGGAAGAATTTCAGTAGCATAGAGAAAGACAGCAAGCACAGAATGAGCAAAGGTGTGGAAATACAGATAAATAAGTCTTGCCTAATGAACGACGGAGACTATGTCAAGCAGAAGGTTTATGTCAGGAAGCAGTGAGTTAACAAAGTTGAAAAGACGGTATGCCATGGCAGCCAAGAGTGAGGGGAAAGTTTTTAAAATAACTTGAATAGGAGAATGTTAATATTATTGATAGAAAAGTCAACCAGAAAGAGACAAAAGTTGGAGGGGAAAGACGTGGTAACAAGATGGAGCAATAGCTTCAGTGCTGGACTTTTCAATCATTTTCAGTCACATCTGACTCTCCATGATCCCATCTGGGGTTTTCTTGGCAAAGATATTGGAATGGTTTGCCATTTCCTCCTCCAGCTCATTTTACAATTGAGGAAACTAAGGCAAACATGGCTAAGTGACTTGCCTGGGGTCAAACATCTAGTAAGTCTTCCTGACTCCAGACCTGGCACTCTATCCACTGTGTTGCTCTCAGGGTTGGACTAGTTGGCAGAAAAAGACAAATTCAAATTCTGCCTCGGATTTACCAGCTGTGTGACTCAGGATAAGTTATGTAATCTCTCTGTACTGAAGTTTCCCCACTTGTAAAATGACAGGGTTGGGGACAACTACATGGTGCAGTAGATAGAGCTCTGGCCTTGGAGTCAGGAGGATTCAAGTTCAAATCTGCCTGAGACACATGACTGTGTGACCCTGGGCAAGTCACTTAACCCTGACGGCCTCACCAACAAGCAAAAAAGAAAAAGAAAAAAAATGACAGAGTTGGACTTCGTGACCTCTAAAGTGTCTTCTAGATCTAAATCCATGATCTTATGAGCTATGATTGATACACTGGAGAAGTTCTTTCCAGTGGAAATAACACTGGATTAGGTACCTCAGGACTTGGGTTCAAATCCCAATCATGCCACTTACTCCCTATGTTACCTTGGTCAACTTACTCTTTGGGCCTTGGTTTCCTCATCTGTAAAATGAAGGGCTTAGATTAGCTAACTGCTTACAGTCCCATCCAACTCTAAATTCATGATCCCATGAACTTGGCTTTGGAAATATTGACTCTGAGGTTGTGGTAATGATGGTCCATCCAAGTGGAGGGACCAAATAGTTAGCTGGAACTATGAGACTAGAGTTTAGGAGGAAGATGAGGGCTAGAGATTTCCAGGTCCCCCTGGTAGAAATACAGTTTAGAGCTATAAAGACAGACAAGTCCTACATGCAAGAGAAGGTAGAAATGGGAGAACAAAAAGCCAAGGACTAAACTCTGGGGAATACCTATTGTCAGAGAAAGGAGGAAGCCAATGAGCCACAGTGAACTAGTGTCTGTGACCTTCCTTTCTCCCTCCCCTCAAACATAAATTGAAATAAACACTAAAAGAATGGAAGTGCCTGGTGATTCTTTATATAGTGGCAAGTCACTGAAGTTTCAGTTCCCTTTATCCAACCACTAGGAAATAAGAACTTACATGGTGCTTCTCTAGCCTAATCAGAAGGGTCTTTAAGCTGCCTTTTTTCCTGGGTCCTGAACACAGCTGAATCTACAATTTGAAAAAGGTCCTTTGTGATTTAACCTTTAAGCTACCAACCAGAGATATGTATGTCCTTGGCTCTGAGATAAATAAACACACAAATCAAATTCCATTCTCACCATACTGATACATCTCAGCTTAATGGCACCATGACCCGTCTACAATTGCTTATTTAATGCTCCTTTTTTAAATTGTCATTTTCTTTGAAAGGAGCCGTAGCTCCAACTTGATTCCTTAAAAGGCAAAGAAAACACTGGTAAAGAAAGGATGAGATGCCTAAAATCTTACCTTTCAAAAAGACGGAGACATCTTCAAGTTGGGGCACATTGTCTTCTCTGTAGCCACAGTATTTCGTCAACAAAGGGAGGTTTTTCAAATACTCTCGGCAAGCGTGGGTAGGATAGAGTTTGGTGAGCTCTCTGAATACAACCCCCCAAGTCTTAGTCTCTTCTTCCGTATATTCCACTCTGGGAATGGGCTGGCCGCTGGACAAGAGAATAGAAGATTATTAAATCAGATGTCATAAGATTAAGCTCAGTCCCCACCCCTCACCCTCAGTCCAATTGTAGATGGGCTAGATCTGTGATTTCATTGGTATAGAGAACTCTCAATGAAGAAACTTCCTTTACTGACAAAGAATTGTGTAGGGCACTGGGAAGTTAAGTGACTTCACCAAGGTCAAGAACTTGAACTCAAGTCTTCCTGACTCTCAGAGCAGTTTTCTATCATACTCCAACTATTACAATTAACTAGGAAATACGGTACGGATATATTTCTAGTTCCTATCAATATAGTACTACATATTTTATAAAATGCTTTGCTGGCGATACCTCTGTGAGATAGATAATGTCAGTATTATTTCCCTTCACACAATTAGTAAGAGGTGGTCTTGGCATTTGACCTGAAGGGTTCTAATCCTAAATCCCTTGGTGTTTTCCACTACACAAAAAGAAAATAAGAATGCATCTTATCCATCAGATTGCCTCCTTCCTCCAACTCAACACCGAATTCACAGCAATCTCATCACAAAAACATCTCAGGATGTTTTCTGTTTAAAGCCATTGTTTTTGTTCTGCCCGTCTGTGTTTCCTACTGCTCACAAAGCAATCTAAAAAAACAAAATAAGATAAACAGCTGAGCTAGGTTGTGTGTGAGGCATGGGGGGTGGGGGGAGAGACAATTGAAAAAGAATAAGAAATTACTGTTCACCTTTCCCTAAGTGCCAGCACTGAGATCTATGCAAACCAAATTAGAATAAGATTAGCGTTAGTTCGACTTGGATGCTTGTGATGAGAAAATTACAGCCTGGCAAGTATTATTGGTAATACCGAAAATGTGCTAACTCCTAGGGATTGTGATGAATTTAGAATGAAAACTTGAATTGGAAAGATTTTTTTTAGTAGAAAGGGGTCAAGGACATAAATATATCGAGGAAAATCTGCTTCTGACTCAAGAAAAAAGCCACCAAATCAATCTGAGTTATCTAGATGATAAAAACTAATAAAGATGCTGAGCAATCTGAAGGAGGAAAGCCAAGAGCATGAAAGAGTAGATGAAAAGATTTAGGACTTTATGAAAACCATTATGAAGACAAACTTTTTGCAACTTCCAACATCTCCAGTGGCAATTATGTGCACCTTTCCAATCACCAAATGGGGTAGATGAATATTAGTATAATTCTGGCCCACTACCCTTTCTCTGAGGACAGCAGAGTAGCCAGCCTCTGGTGCCAATCTCTTGCTTTCCCTCCTGGCAGAAATCTAAAAGTAGGGAAGGACCTATTTCATTTATATGCTTGGGTATAACATAGCCAGCACTATCATCCTCTCTCCCAAGAGTCTTTCTATGTTGCTTTCATATTATAATCTAATTATATTACAATTTATATTGTAATACCTCATAATTTCAAGTTATAGTCCATATGTACAAGTGTGTCCATTTACCTGCCTATCTCTAAATGAACCAATTATTCAGATACAAATGCAAAAAAATGGAATTCTTATATAATTTGAAAAAGAACTTTCCATTTTCTCATTAGAAAAAGAAGATAAAAGAGAGAGAATGAGAAAAAAGGCAAGAGAGGAGGAAAGAGGAAAAAGGAAAGAAGAGGAAGACACGGAGGGAGAGAGGAGAAAAAAAGGGGAAGAGAGAGAAGAGGAGAGACAGAGACAGAGACAGAAATAAAGAGACAGAAAGGGGGAAGGGAAAAAGACGAGGAGATAGAGGAAGGAAAAAGAGAAAAGAGATAGGAAGGAAAGAAAGGGGAGAGAAAGCCAGAGACAAAAAGAAAAAGGGAAGAGGGAGAGGTAGAGGGAAAAAGGGAAATAAGAAAGGGAGGGAAGGAAGGAAGGAGAAAAGAAGGAAGGAAGAAAGAAAAGAAGGAAGGAAATAAAGAACTGCTTAGGAATATGTTGGAAATTATGAGAGCCATGTATTTTCCTGGATGGCTTAGTTATCCCAAAGGATGAGTGAATGTATTTGTGGTCCTTACCTGTCACTTCAGCTTAGTGACACAGTACCTAAAAATACAGAAGTGCTGGCTAGTAGACGTAAGAGAAAGATATGTGAACTAACATAATTGGCACTGAGGTACAACTAGGTATAGGGACTCGACTTGTGATTCCTCTGATACAGGTGACTTTAGGATGAGAGAAATTTCTCTGCCAATTCAAGTTAGCAACTCCTCTGCAACTTTTGGTTTTAGGTTGCTGCCTAGCGCATTGAGAAGTTAATTGACTTGCCCAGGGTCACACAAACATTCTGTGTGAGAGGCAGGCAGGACTTCCTGGGTCCAAGGCCAGCTCTCTATCCATCATGCCACACTGCTTCATAAGGTATCAATGCAGATTCTATATATAAGTTCTAAACTTACTATAACAAAGTTCTTTTTTTAAATTATGTAACCTTGGATTTGACAAGAAAAATCTAATAACATCCTCTGCAAAAATAAAAATATCTCCAATGTTCTTAGTTTGGTCTGTTACTAAACAATAAGTACAAGATTAATTGCTAATGGCAAAGGAGTATGATGTTAACTGATTCATAAGAGTTCACGGTCGATATAGAAGTATATTTCATACATATCAAAGAACAAAATGTTTTACTTTTTCTCTTGTATTTTCTGAAAAAAAATATTCTTTTTATAAGCTTAAATTTGGTTGACCTTTTTAAATCTTTTTGTTCAATATTGTATAGGCTTCCATTTTCTTTTCTTTTCTGTAGTGCTCTTATCAGTATAAGACTGACTTGGGGGGAGCTCCCCTTACAGTGAGATAAAACGAGCAACAATACTTCCATTTCATTCGACTGTTTATTTCACCTCCTCCTCTTGAGACAGGGCCAACGACAGTCTGTTTTTCTTACATATTTTTCAAATTTAGGGACTGAAAAATATTTGATCATGATGGTAACTCCAGGCTGTCTCTGAGAGCCCTGCTGCTAGAATTCATAAGTGAGATGCAGTCTTTCCACTAGGGTTATCATTAGAGCAACTTCTATTAAAGTAATGGTGATTCACTCATCCAGTGGAGGGAGAGAAGACAGGAGATATTTGATACTCTCTGTTTTAAGATACTGTGACTGGAAATATAAAGGAGACTGGTATTGGGGTTTTTGTTTTTTTGATTAGGACAGCAGGGTTCCCATCCTTAGCAAAAACCAAACAAGCAGTAAAAGATAAGCAGAGAGTTAGTTAAGGGACTTGGGGTGGGGGGGAACCTTATAGGGCTGAACATATTTCCTAATTTATTTTATTATGGACTATTTGAAAGCAGCTCTTTCACTGTGATAAATTTTTAATTATTCCAGGCCTGATTGATTTTCCAGCCCATAGGTTATATTGAATCCCCTCACGTCCTCCCCATCCACATCTTTTCAACATGTTTTTTGATTAGTACTTCTACCACAAGGTTGTTGTTTGTTATGTTACCTCCCCTATTCAAATATAAGCTCCCTGAAGGCAGCAACTGTTTTTAGCTTTCTTTGCATCCCCAACACTTAGCATAGTACCTAACACTTAATAAGTGCTTATTGACTGACATTGACTTTAAGCTGTTGCTTGTGGTTCTGACATATTGGGCAGAGGTGGGAGGGGAGTGGGGGGGGAGTGGGGGAGGGGGAAGGGGGAAATCAGAAAAAATATAATCATTTTTCCTCCCCCTTACAGCCCTTCAAGTACTATTTTCCCCTCCCCTTTTATGTCTTCTCTTCTCCAGGCTAATCATCCCCACTTAATTAAACTGACCATGAGCCTTTCTTCCACCTTGCCTGCCCTCCTCCAAATGCTCATGAACTCATCAATGACTTTCTTAAAATGTGGCACCCCAAGCAAACACAATATTCAAGACACAGTCTAACCAATGTAGGCAAGATCAGAACCATAACTCCCGTTTACCGAACATCTTGTCCCTTTTAGTGAAGCCTCAGGTCACATGAGCATTCTGGCTGCCATACTGAAATTGTGGTCCATTATACTCACACAAATACATGTACATACACAATCTTTTTCACAGAAAATGTTGTCTAGTCATGTTTTCTCATCGTTAACTTTACACCAAAAGTTATTTTCCTCTTCCCATTCTTCCCATCACTTGTACATTCTTACCTCCTTCCAGTTATATTGGCCTAGTAACAACTGGAATTTGTCACATTATCACAAGAAGAGCTGGTCACTTATACATCAAGAGATGGAAACACCCCAAACTTGCTAAGCATGGATTTATTTCCCTGAAATTCCAACTCTTTGAGTATAAACCTCTATTCATATGTTTTCAAGAAACCATGACTATCTTCTTTTTACTACAAGGATCCCACAAATAAACAAAGCTCAGCAATTAACCATCTGACATTAAAAAATGAGATTCAGTCAAGTCAGTTCAGTCAAGCATAATAGCAGCTAAATCTATAAAGAAGCATATTTCGGCACAAATAAGGAAAAATTTAACAATCAGTGCAAAAGTAGAATTGTTTGCCCAGGGAGTCATTGGGTTCCCAATTACCAGAAATCTTCAAATTAAAGCTGAATAAGCATTTGTCAGAGATGTTGTAGAAGGAAAAGGTTGAACCAGATGATCACTGACATCCTTTCTAAAGCTGAGATTCTTTGATTCCATAAGCTCATTTTGGGTTCCTTTGGCACTCAAATCAAGTAATCCCAGGGCTGCCAGTCTATGCCATGGAGTAAAACTGGAACTCAGTCTGCATTTTACCCTATTTCATATGCTAGCCAGGTAAGCTACATCCCTGATCACATATTTTATTTGCTTTTGCAAATGAGTTTTATACAATCAAGTTTTCCTAAATGAGTCTATGGACCCTAAAGAGCTTTCCAAAGGTAGCAGACAAAAATATTTGTTTGTTTTATTCACATTGTTAATATCAGGACTGTCTCCACAATAAACATAATGAAAATAAACGGCTGGCACATGCATAGCCTCAGAGGGGAGTGAATACATAATAAACTCTTGGAAATTATTTGCTCTCATTT